AACTGGTCTCCTCTGTCCCCAGACATCTGTTGAGTGTTGTAAGAAGAAGGGGGGATGCCACACAGTGGTAAAAATTGACTTGTCCCAACTTTTTTGGGATTTGTTGACGCCATGAAATTTGGAAACAACAGATTTTTCCCTTAAAATGATACATTCTCTCAGTTTAAACTCTTGATCTGTGATTTGTGTTATATTCTGAATAAAATATTAGATGTTGGCACCTCAACATCATTGCATTCAGTTTTTATTCACAATTTGTTTAGTGTCCCAACTTTTTTGGAATCCGGTTTGTAGCTACAGCTTTGGTGCAAGAAATTATCACAATCACATGACAAACTACTGAAATTACATTTCCTGTGAAAACAATGTGTTAATGCTGCTGAATGATTTTTGCTGAAACCAGCTGAAAAGTTTAATTTGAACAGATATTTGCTGAAAGCAGGAGAAAAATGGAAGAAATGTGTAAAATTAGCAGAGAGAGGCTGAATAGAGATTTTAAAAAATCTGAAATTAGCACACAAAAAAACAACTGAAATGAGTAGAGAAAAGCTAAAATTTGCAAAAATAAGTCCTGTAGCTAACAAAAGAAATTAGCATAGAGGTTGAAAATGCATAAAACATTAAGAATCAAATTACAACACAATAAATGAACAACAAAAAGCAGAAATTTGCAATAGGAAAAAAAGCAGAAATTTGCAAAATAGGAAAAAAAAAAGCTAAAAAAAAAAAAAACCTCAAAAGTAGCTGAAAAAGCAGAAAAGATAAAATTAGTTGAAAAAAAGCTAAAAATTGCTGAACTCAGCAAAAAAAACTGAACAGATGAAGGAAGCTGAAATTCGCACCAAGAAGCTAAAAAAAAGCTGACCCAGAACAAAAGACAAAATGTGCAGTAAAAGGGTTTGAAGGAGGAAAAGAGATCGCCGTTCATTTTCGATGAGACGAAAGACAGAAAAAGAAATATTTTAAAAAGTAAAAATTGCACAAATATTAAAAGTCACAGCAGGAATGTCCTGAATGAGCTGAACGTTTTGATACATGAATTGGTGAAATATCACAAGAAGAAGAAGACAAAGAACAAGAAGAAGAACAAGAACAAGGACTTACGATCTGTTTCTCTGTGTATTTGTTGGAGCTCAGCAGGTTAACAGCCTCCATGTGTCCAAAATCGATGTCATGGCCGAGCAGGAAGATGAAGAGCAGCTTGCACACGTACTTCTTCTTACTGTAGCCATCCAGAGCCTTGTCTCCTTTAAACTTGGAGCGGATATTGGCCAGCTCTTTATTTATCCGTTTGATCTCAGCTTCCTTGCTCTTACCTGAGAGGGAATAAAAAGTGCATGGTTTCTGCATTTAAAGTCTAAACACAACAAACAAGGAAATATTTAGAATTAATAGTAGTAGTAGTAGTAACAATAATAATAATAATAATAATAATAATAATAATAATAATAATAATCATCATCATCATTTTATTTGTATAGCACTTTTCTAAATACTCAGACGCTTTAAATGAGTAAAAAATAAATAAAAATAAAAAATGCATAACGCATGAAAACACTGTAAAACGTTTAAAATAGGGCAAACTTTAACATTAAAAGCCAATTTTAACAGGTGGGTTTTGAGTTCTTTCTTAAAAGTGGAGAGATCGGAGCAGACATGAAGCTGTTGGGGCAGCGATGGATAGGGATGCACCGATCCACATTTTTTTTTCCACTTCCGATCTGATATCTGCATTTTCTAATCGATCGATACTGATCCGATATCGATCTGATACAGAAAAATAGTGCTGAATTACCAAAAATGGCTAAATCATATCTAGACCTGATATAATAAATGATTATTTTTATGCTTTAATGTCAATTTACACTCAACTTATTATGTCAATTTATATTTAAGCTGTAACAAACTAGGCCTTGTGCTGGGGAAGTGATGTACTCTAAGGAATGCAGTGTTAAACCTCTGGGATTGTTCTAGCTAGGAGATTTGGCCCGTCTTGTAGCTACAGCGCCCAGAGCTCCCTGTAAACATGTTTTTCTTCATCAGGGTCACACACAATGGCCTTGGTCTTGCAAAGCATGTTTTTTGGGAGTCGTCGATAAAAGTGTAACACTCAGAATAAGAGTTGGAGTCTGCTGGTGATCTTGACCCGATGCCCAGCCAATTGATGTTACCTTTCCACTTGGACTGAGGGCTCCCCAGTCGGTGTCACGGTGAGGGGCTTTACATCAATGTTTGATTTGTACTGAATGTACTTGTGCTTTGCTTCGCTGTATCTGTGGCGGTTTAATAAATGACGCTTATTATTCTAGCAGAAACAGCCTGTGAGTGTTTATTCATTGCTCCAATCATTTCCCCGAATCTGTACTTTAAGATAATTTCATAATTCAATTCAATTCAATTCAAATTCAAAAATACTTTATTAATCCCAGAGGGAAATTATTTGTTGTAGTAACTTGTTATCCTCATTTCATTAAGAGATGTTATAGATGATGATGGCTGTAGACAGGAAGGATCTCTTGTAAAGGTCCATCCCACAGTAAATCCTAAGAAACTGGTTGCAGATGCCGTCCGATCCGTCCACCCAGACTCGGCTGGCCTCTCTGTTCCCCTGAGCTGTAGGACCGCCCAAATGCAGAGCAGAACTCCTCCCAGAGCAATGGCTACTCCTCCCAGCAGTCTGCCGAGCTCCTCATCACTGTGGACAGCCAACTGCAGGTGCCGAGGGACGATCATGTCCTTCCACTTTCATGAGCCGTGTTTCCTGCTAGTTCCAGGATCTCAGTGGTCAGACACTCAAGTACAGCTGGCAGGTAGATGATAATGCACCCACAGAACATCATTTTCAACTCATTTGAGATTTGGGGCTGTAGCTGAGATATTATTTGAGCTTTTGAGATGTTAATCAGCTGCTGGTTGTAGAAAACTGCCTTGTTGCCATAGTTACGCATCATAACAAATGTACAAAACTAAAAACGTTTCAGTAAAAATACTTCCAGCTGCACAGCATCTGATACCAGAGGAAACAATCATCCAAAAAAGTGATTTACATCCAGAAAAAGAGGAATTAAAAGTTTCTAAAAGTAACATCCCAGAATGAAAGTAACAGAGCTGCTCCAACATGCAGCCACCTTGAGCGGCGCAATTCTAGAACAAGACCCCTTTCTGAAACAGATCCAGATGACATGAGATTTTAGGGCTCCAACAACGAATCAAGCCCAATTTTTGGGATTTTGACCCAGGTGTCATCCACATATCGGAACCAATGGCTTGGCGTTGTTCCGTCATCGGAGTTTAGGGCTCTGTGTTCCACTTCCTCCATGTAGAGATTGGAAACAGAAACACATTCAAGAAGCTCTCCAAACGTGGATATCCTAACTGGGCTTTTGTCAAGTTAGCGAGGAAATCTACAAAACACATAATAAACAGAAAAAGGAGAACAACAGACGGAAAAAACATTGTCATCCCTTGTGTTGCTGGAGTATCAGAGAAATTCAGAAGGAATTTCAACAAACAACATCCCAGTACATTTAAAACCCAGCAGGACTATCAGACAGAGGCTGGTCCACCCTAAGGACAAAACACCCATAGCACCCAAAACACCCAACAGAGTGGTGTAGTGTATGCAGTCTAATGCAGCGAGGACTGTCCAGACCTCTACACTGGGAAAACTAAACAGCCTCTTCACAGACGCATGGCTCATCACAGGAGAGCCAGCTCCACAGGAAAAGATTCAGCTGTTCACCTCCACCTCACAGATAAGGGACACTCTTGAGGACCAAAATGTGCACATTTTGGACCGAGAACACAGATGGTTTGAGAGGAGGGTGAAGGAAGCAATTTATGTAAAAAAGGGAAAAGCCGACAGAGGAGGAGGCCTCAGATTTCCACTTTCAAAAACCTATAATGCAACTTTAAGACAGATTCCCAGCCGGTTTTCACACTTGATGGGAACAGAAGGGTCTCATCTGTGAATTAGAGTAACAAAGACCTTAATAAACCCCTACTGTTAAGGTGTTGAGGTGTGACTTGTCAAATCTAAATGCGTGTGTGTGTCTCATCTCACTCAGCCTTATAACCTGAATCTCTCACTCACTGCTCATTGAATTGAGAAAGCTCCTCGGATGAGGAGCAAACCGTCTTCTGTTACAAATAAAGTCCAGTTGTTTTCGTATTGAACATTTTTTTAATGTGTTTTGGATGGAAACCGAACTGGAATGGTTCAACCAAGCTATTGAATTTGAGGTGGGTCTGAAGTTGATCAACTATGACTCGCTCTAAGATTTTAGACAGAACGGGAAGATTTGATATAGGCCGTAAATTTATGAAGTTTTCAGGGTCAAGGCCAGGTTTTTTTGTATTGGGATGATGGCTGCCAGCTTGACAAACTGTGGAACAGATCCAGAAATAAGTGAGGAGATGATGTTTCTTGTGATCAGAAAAGAGACAATGGGGAGACAACGTTTAATGAGAGGAGAGAGAATGGGATCCAAAGAGCAGGTGGTAGTTTTGATACCAGAGACAAAAGTTTAGTCAGTTGAGCAGAGATTGGAGTGAAGTGTGAGAGCTGCTGAATGGAGCTGGAGGGAGGCGAATTTGGAGGAGCTTTGTGAGCAGAGACGAGATCAAGGGAACTATAAATGTTGTCAATTTTGGACTGAAAAAAAGACTGAAAACTATTCTGATGCATGCTCAATAATCCAGGTAGAAAAATCCAAAAAAGTTCAATCTGGTC